CACTTTTCAGAATTTTTCACGCCACACTTTTTAATTCCAACCTTCCCAAGCTCTTGTCCTTTGCCCGATTTGATTTCCCTCAACAACTCAGTTCTTAAAGTCAACATTTTTTTGTCCACCATAGACATTAATTCCTTCTTATGGGCTTTTATTTTCTTGTCCACCATCGAGACGACATGTCCATCTAATTGCATATTCACTTGCTCTCCAACCACAGGTTCATCATCTCTGACGTCTTGGTTATCATCTCCGGCGTTGCCATCGTCCGCTACTTCCTCTATTACTTCTTCTTTCCTAGATCTCTTCCGAGGGATGGGCAATTTTTTTTCCTTTTTCACAATTTTCGGACCTGGTATAGACATTCTTGGTAGACCATCATATCCACCATGCCAGATTTCTTTGCCAATTGTGACACCTTTCTCTAAAAGGCTCATTATATACTCCACCCCCGGATCTACGACTTCGTCTTCCCAACCGTATTGACCTTCATCAATAGGCTCTTCGGTCTCTAAGATAGAGATTACATCCAACTGAAAAACAAAATTCGTGTTAATATTTTTTATAAATTGAGTCTATTTTCCACATATATTTATGATTTTTACCTCCGGATTGTTTTCAGCTTCCAAGATATTCGAGTTGTGGAATGATTTCAGCTTCGCCAGTTGGAACACAGAACGGTCGGTGAAGGTCTGTTCATCGTCATTGTCGGGAAGATAGGTCTCCAACAGTGGGATGCAATGGAGAATCAGAAGTTGAAGCGACAAAATGAACCCGTGTGTTGCTACGTGAGACTGTTTCATTTTCGCAACTAGTGATTCCACAGAATCTACTTTCGAGCCCACTTTAACCATCCGCATGGTCAAATTGAAAGATTCACGTCCCCACGGATACGAAAAAAAAGTCCCCAGGTTCCTCACCATTTCAACCACCTCCGATGACGCTCTCACCGGCTGGCTGTCGCATATCAGAATTCCCTCCACAATCACTACAAGTGCAAGCCTCAATTTTTTCCATCCAGGCATTTGTCCCTCTGGTGGTTTCCTACTGTCCACCTTCAACGACCTAACAATATCATCGATAGTAACCACTTTCTTATTCCCAAACAATGTCTTCCAAAACGGTTCTGAGTTCCCTGTTGCAGTTTGAGCCTTTGTTATCTCTTCGGCTGGTGGATATGGAAAACATGGAAGCCCCGTCACGAGACCAAACTCTCTAAGGGAGAAACGAAATGGATGGCCTCCGAAAACGAACCACAACTCATGTTCCTTTGCTGTAACAAGTGAACGGCATAATATGTTGTGGACCAGTTTACCCGATAGGGAGCATTTCCTAATTGGCAACTCAAACAGAGAACCCAACGGCGAATTTTGCAGATATTCCAATTCCTTGGTACCCTGCAAAACGTCTACAATGTCGAGCAAATACTCAGGTTTTGATTAGGAGTTGATTCTCCCTTTTACAGGGTATCGATCTGTCGCGAATAGCCTTTCAGGTAGAAGTTCCGGGACAATTGTAACTCCCCCGTCCCTGTCCCACTCTACCCGATTTTGATCTTTACCCGCCTGATACTCAATTAGCCCTTGCGTATCCTCGTCAAATTCCATTATTTTAAGACCTGGAAATTGTGGACATAAAATTTTTGTTAACGTGGACGTAATTGATATACATATGGACAACACAACTCACTTTTTTTCACAATAACAATGACAATGACGATTATAGAGAGATTCAGTATGATATTTACCTTTCTTTCCCTTCGGTATATCGTGGACGAAGACTACCAAATACCAGAATAAAGTTCCAGTTTTTTAAAGTTAAGTTTACAGAAGATTGAAAAGAAGTAGAGCTCCTCGATTAGGTTAAAATGGTGGAGAGAGTTTTATTGGGTAAAATTCTCGATTTCTTCCTCTGTAAAGTAATGTCGTTTCACTTTTTCAACTTTTAATCTTAAAATATTTTGTCGCTTTGGAAACGGAAACCCGGCTACTAGACCGTAATTAATAGCGCAGGCACGTCTCTCCAAACGTCACATCGTCTTCTCTTACACGGTAAAGCGAGAGCATTTTCGTCTTTCTAAGTCCCAAAAATGGCGTTGCCCACGATGAGTTTTTTAAATGTCATTCCCAAAAATTAAAACTCAAAAGAGGGCAGTATTATCAAAATTCCCTAAAAAAATCGAGTCCATATCTTTAGCTAGTTTGATCGGTAATTTGTTCACCTAAGAAAATATCTTTATTAACGAATAAGATATCGCAAATATGTAGATTCTAGGATACCATCATAAACGGCCTTAAAGCACAAGAGAAGAAGCATAACAACAACAACTCTGTTTTTTGAAGTGTTAAAATCTTTTATGGACCCAAAAGATGTTATAAACTGTTACTACACAAACTTTGTACGATTCTTTAAGGAGTTAATGCCACTACGATACATTGCCCTCCCTTTCTTTTTCTTCTTCTTCTTCTGTCTTCTTCAAATTTTGTTATCTTCTGTTTTCCTCATGACGTGATTCATATAAAGACTTCACTCTCTCTAAATTTAGTAGCCTTGGAATATTGGAGGTGGTGGTGAAGCATATTGGTGGCCGATGAATGGTGGAATGATGAATTCCTCACTTGGCGGTGGTGCTTCTACTGTCCGTGTTGGTGTTTGTGGTGGAGGAGAGTTGACCGGTGTTTGTGTTGGTGGTGAACTCATTTTTGGCGGTAAATGTGGAGGAGAGTAGACTGGTGGTGGTGGTGGTGGTGGTGAGTTTACTGGCGGCGGTGGAGGAGAATGTACTGGTGGTGGTGGGGAATATACAGGTGGTGGAGGGGAGTGGACAGGTGGTGGTGGAGAGTATACCGGTGGAGGTGGTGAATGGTCTGGCGGTGGTGGCGGTGGAGGAGAATGGACTGGTGGGGGTGGTGAATGGACTGGCGGAGGAGGAGAATGTATGGGCGGTGGTGGTGAATGGACTGGTGGTGGTGGCGGTGGAGAATAAACTGGTGGTGGAGGTGAATAGACTGGTGGCGGTGGAGAATGGACTGGAGGTGGTGGTGAATGGACTGGCGGGGGAGGAGAGTGTACCGGTGGTGGTGGTGAATGGACTGGCGGTGGAGGAGAATGTACTGGCGGTGGAGGAGAGTGCACTGGTGGTGGTGGCGGTGGAGAATAAACCGGTGGTGGTGGTGAATAGACTGGTGGTGGGGGCGGTGGAGAATATACTGGTGGTGGTGGTGGTGGAGAGTGAACCGGCGATGCAGGTGGGGGAGAGTGAACCGGAGGTGGAGGTGGACTACGCCGGAACTTCACAGGAGACTGATCATATGGGTCATTTGGTTGCGGCGACTCTTTCGGTGGTTGAGGTTTATGAACCGGTGATGGAGTTGAATGGACCGGCGGTGAGGGAGGAGGAGATAAAACTGGCGGTGTAGGCGGTGGAGAGTGAACCACAGGGTGATGTGGTTGTTGTGGTGGAGGCGGGCTTCGCCGGAACTTTACTGGAGACTGATTATATGGGTCATTTGGTTGTGGTGATTCTTTCGGTGGTTGTGGTTTATGAACTGGCCTAGTTGGCACAGGTGATGGAGACTTCGACGGTGTAACGTAGCTAGAACCACCAGCACACTTGTCCTTACTACAATCGACTGGACGGCTAATCACCACCGCACATTCCTTGGCTGATCGTTGCTTAGGTCGATCTGGCAAGCAGTTGCGTGTATCATCCAATGCAATCTCCTTCTGACTACCTGGGACACATGAATCACCTTGCCCGTTGAAGTAATTGTAGGCGTACGTCAAGTTAACTAATTTAGGCAACTTGCAGATATTCTCTGGCATGAACCCAGTGAGTTTATTCCCAGAGATATCAAACTCTTCTAGACTGGTAAGCCCGACAAAGCTTGGAGGTAGAACACCGGTGAAGGAGTTCATGCTAGCGTCAAACACGTTCACATTGGATAGCTTCCCGATCTCTGATGGGAAACAACCGCCAAGACTGTTGTCCTTAAAGATAATCTCGTTGAGATTCTTCATGTTTCCAATACTTCTAGGGATACAACCGCTGAATTTGTTGTGAGCAAAGGTCACGACGGAGGCTGAGGATTCTCCGAGAGAATCAGGAATGGTAGACGTGAATCTGTTGTTGTTCAAGAAAATGGCATCGAGATCCTTCTTGAAAAGCTCAGGAGGGACTTGACCTTCGAAATCATTGTATCTAAGGTCGATGAACTTAACGGCCGGCCATGAGAGGACTACGGAAGGGAAAGGTCCAACAAACCGGTTGTTGCTGACATCGAACTCGTGCATTAGACTCAACTTCTCGAAACTTTTAGGTATGATACCACAGAACCGGTTCGAATTCAAATGAAACATTGCAACATCTGTCATCAAACCAAGTTCAGCCGGTAAATGCCCTGCGATATCCGCACCATTCAAATCAACCCCCGCCACAACCGCAACGTTAGGATCATCAAGAGCTGGGGCGCAGAACACGCCCGTGTAGCCACACACATGAGGGCCATGCCAGTTTCCCGTGGTATTAAACGGGTCTGAATACACCGCCTTTTTCCAGGCTTGGAGAGCAATATACGCTCTCTTAAGCCTATGGTTGGCAAATGTCACCTTAAGATCAACCTCATACTCAATATCATCAGGAAGTTCGCCATTTTCAGGTAACGTCAAGAGCTGTCGTTGTGCAATAAATGAAGCTTCTGCATCGGTGAGTGCTAAAACAACAGAAGAAAAGAAGAAGAAGAAAGAAAAGAAAAAGAGGATGCAGCCAAAGGGCGAGAAAGAAAATTGGGGTTTAGTCATGGCTTAGAACAAAACCTTGGACAATACCCAAGGGCTGCTTATAGATATGGGGCATAGAAAGGTTCGATGAAAACACCAAAGGGTTATTATTAATAATGTCAAACAATTTTCATTTCGCATCACCAAACAAATCTTTTGCCTATATTTAGAAGACTCTTGTTTTCCTTTCAAAGATTTAGCTTCACATCCGGAGAACAAACATAATCAAGAATAGAAATCTCTTCGTAAACCAAAACCGCGTAGTACTATAATAGGCACACGGCATTAAACAAACTGAAAACATTCGCGAACATCAAGCAATAACAACCACATTTCTATGGCAATATGTTCACATCTTAAACAAAGAGGACACTATATGATCTAAAGCAAAACCAAGAACTATATTTACATATAAGTGTGATAAGAAAACAACTTTCTAAAGGTACCGTAATCCACTTCAGTCGGTTTCGTGATCAGGAGCGTGAGAGAACCAAGCAGGGATAGTTCCTTTAGTTCTAAGCAACCTAGTGAAAGCGGAATCCGGCATTTTCGATTTCTCTTCTTCCTCCAATTCTTGTTCAGATTTTGGTAAACCATCAGGAATATGAATATGCAACTTCATTCCTTTCTCTCTATTTAAACCATTCTTGGTTTTGTTGTCTTTCTCCATTGACGCAACTCCATGTAAACACCCGATTAGCGATTTCACACCGCCTGTTTGCAAAATCAAATTCTCAACTTCAACCTTAGGCTTCTCTCTCTGCAATCACATAGACCATAACAAAGAGTAAAAGATTGTTTAAGTGATTAAAATTCTCAAGTAAAATTCACAAATTGCAAAAATATAAAGAATTATTTACTTCGAGATCTTTGAGTTCAAAGTAAGCTCTCCAGCAACTGTAAGAATCATCACCTTCAAGCGTCGAACAGTAATCTGAAATCAAAATCAAACCCAAATCAGAACATGTTCGTCTGTGTATCGAAAGCGAATGAAATTGTTGAACCTGAGAGTTCGGTTTCGGCTTTTTCGATTAGAGGCGGATCTTGAAGAATCCGGTCGAATTTTCCGCGGCTGAAGAGTTCAAGCTTAGGGACGTCTCTGGTGCTTGAACAACGAACCACCGGGAAGGATCTCGCGGGGGGAAACGACGGTGCGGCGAATTTGGTGTCGTTAAACTCAATAGGGAGATGAAACGAGCGAAGAGTCACTGATTTTATCATCTCTGCTGAAGATATTATTATGAAACTAGGAGTGAAGTGGATAAGGATTGAGATTTTTGTATTTATAGAGAGAAGAAAAAGTTTTGATAGTGACGGAGATAGTAATAAAGTGATGATTTCAATATGGCCCATAGTATAAGCGCCGTTGATTTTTTTTTTTTTTTTTTTTTTGTGTATATTTCGGATAAGATTATAAAATATCTTAGATTGGTACACCTAGGCCTGGGCGTTCGGATATTCGGGTCGGGTTCGGATCGGATTTTTTGGGTTCGAGTTTTTCGGATATATAAAACTAAGACCCATTCGGGTATTTTAAAATTTCGGGTTCTGGTCGGGTTCGGATCGGATATTTCGGGTTCGGATTCGGGTTTACCCGAAGTATCCAAATATTAAAAATTTTGTATCCGACTCTTTGCAAAGTATTGAAAAATACTCAAAAATCTATAAAACCCAAGTATTTTTTAACCGAATCTAGCCAAAAGTAACTAAAACACCCAAAAATTCTTAACATCCAAATAATTTAGGCACTTAAGTTTTTAAAAATATAAATATTACTAATCTATATATATAATGGGAGAGTTTTCTCTCCTCTTAGGGTGTCCACATCATCACCAAATTAATATTATGGATCCTACTAATAATTATTTCAAAATATTTAATTTCATAGTTAATTACATCTCATTATCAAAGAAGTAATCATCAATTAATGCACAGTTTTAAATAAAGGTTACATGAATAATAATAACACAAGTGTAACATATTTACATATAAAACACTTAAATTAATTTTTTGTTAATATATAACTTAAAATGAACATAATACCTAAATATTTAATTAATAAATAAAAAAATAATTATGAAAATTTCATAAAAATACCAATGTTATTAAGATGGACAAAAAGCTTCTTAATGAAATTTATTATACAATTAAAAACAAATAATAACTTATTAAAAATAAAAAACGTTTAAAAACTATCATTTTTAAGAATAATAAAGAAACCTCAAATATAATATAGGATGAAAAAAGAATTGAATTGAAATGGAAAGCTATAAGAGTTTTTTTTTTTTTAATAATAAGAAGATATTCATATTTCATGGAAACATTAAATTAAAGAGATCATAATGAAGTGGAAGAAATTTATTTAAAATAATATTATTTTTAGATTAAAAAAAAGGTTAAATGTTATAGTAAATGTATGATTGTAAAAGTTTTTTTAAGATATAAGAAATAATTCATATTTAAAATTGAATATTATATTTCAAGAGAGTAATAGTATAAATTCACATTGACGAAAAAATATAAAAATTAATTGTATCTTAATATTAAATTATAGTAAAATATAACAATAAAAATAATAAAGTTATATCTATATTATTGTTTGCTTTCTAAATAAAAAGGTGAATATGTTTAAATATAGGTAAAAATCTAAATAAGTAGTGTTGAGGAAATTTTAACAAATATATATCTTTCGTAAAATTATATTACGTTGAAGCATGAAAACCATATAATTAATAAAATAAAATAAACTAAAAAGATGAAAATGAGGAAATAGTTTTCAGTTAAGAATCAATTTAAAGTTTTATTAAAGTGAGCATAGAAGATAAAAAAGAGTAGATGTTGGGAAGCGAACAAATGCATCATAGAAGATGACGAAAAATATTTGAAGAGAAATTGAGTAATGCTTGAAGCATCGGATATATGTATGCACATGACTAAACGATATTCATCAGATATATGTATGCATTATCGGATAGTTTGGTTTAGTAAACCAGACTATCATATTCAATATCAGGTTAAATCGTCGAGCCATGTAAGCGTAGTAGGATAGATAAGATTAAGACATTCATGATTTGGTCAAAACTTTCCTTAAGGTATGATGGTCTTGCTTCAATAGGTAAATTGTGCTCTTCAAACCTATTGAAGCGGCATGAATATTACGTTTATATATTTTCATAAATTGATGTTCAAACTCAGCAAATTTACTTTTAGTATGAGGTACGAATAGGTCAAAACATCAAAGACAGTTATATTTACAAGATTTGTTTATGGATATAACTCTCTTTTTGATAAAAAAAAATTCATTGATGACTACCGAGACCGATTAATCTTATATAACTTTTGTTATTACGCGGTACGTACCAAATATATTTTATAATTTTCTATGTTGTAGATTGTTTTGTAAAACAAGTATGAATATATATATATATATATATATATATAGTTTTTAAAATTCAAGTGATTATGATTATTCTTAACATTTTGTATTATACCCAGTTGAAATTTGATATTCCGCGCAATGCGCGGACGAGTAAATCTAGTATATTATAACTATGTACTTATATTTCGGGTATGTTCGGGTACTTGTTCGGGTTAGGGTTTGGGTCGGGTTCGGGTTTGGATTTTTGGGTTGTGAAGTTTAGAACCCGTTCGGGTATTTTAAAACTTCGGATTCGGATTCGGATCGGGTTTTTTGGATCGGGTTCGGTTCGGTTCTTCGGGTTCGGGTAATATGCCCAGGCCTAGGTACACCTTGGCCAGAAGAATAAAGATAGCTGCCACCACTGTTTTCATTTTCTTAAACTTTTTTTTTCTTTAAAAAAGTGATAAGATCAAGGGAACATTCAAAAACAAATACAAGATGAAAAAAAAAAAAAACCAAAACAAATACACCAAGATTGCTTGACTTGAAGAAGAAAAAGACAATCCCAAAAATATCTTTTATCTTCTCTTCTTATAAAGACATATGTACTAGCAGTGTTCAGTGCCGGCCCTGTGAAAGAAGAGGCCCGATACAAATTTTTTTTTTTTGATGGATTTTGTAGAATAAATTAAAATTTGAGACCAAATCTTAAAAGTTTAGAAAAATGGGGCCTATTTTGGCAATAACAAATAGATAAAATTTAAAAATTGAGACTAAATCTGAAAATTTCAGAAAAATAGGGTCTATTATTTGCAATGACAAATATTTTTGAGGCCTAATTTTGACACTAAAAAACTTAAAAAATATGGAGGCCCAATACCCATGTTTCATAGAAATGTGTGGTGGGCCGGGCCTGACAGTGTTGCATGGAAACGGAAACGAAAACGTGGAAGCGAAACGTTTCGAAAACGAGAAACAATTTTTTTCTAATATTAGAGATTGTAAACGTTTTGGAAACGTATACACATACATATATATAATATATGTATATATATAACATTATCATAAAACTATAAAAAAAATGGTTTAATTAAACAATACAAGTTCAAAACATCAATATTAAATAGGTTAACTAAAATTATAAAAGATAAAGATTAAAAGGATCAAGTTCAAATATTTAATTAGACCAACATTTTCATTCTTATTTTCATTAGTTTCATCATAGATCATATAAAGATGCCTCCAAATCTAGTTTGTCGATAGAAAGATCTTACATTATATATATTATAAATCTTAATATTTTCAACTTGTTGTAAACCACATAACGGATGGACTCCATAACCGTGGCCCATGTCCATGTTCTAGAAGGCCCATGTCTAGCTTCTAGAAGACTCGCCCAACCGACCAAGGCCAAAGACGGTTTATGTTAGTCTTAGTGGGCTTTAGTGTTTCCTAGTCCAATTGGGATTTGTCTCCCCTATTGTGTATATATATAAATTGTAACCTCATTCATTAATCAATAAGAATACACGAGATTCATAACACGTTATCAGCACGACTTGCTCTTAACGATCCTAAAACCTAATTCACTAAAAACTCATGATCGCCATTACCACCGTCGGAATCACCGTCGGATTGCTGTCGGATCGCTGTCGGGACATCGTCGGATCGTGGCCGTTTCGCGTCGGGCCACCGTCGGAAAACAACAAGTTCGTGATAAGTTTGAAAACCGAGGTCTTTAGCTCCCGGTTCACATCCATACAAGCCCCATAAGGTGAAAGGTAAAAACGAAACCCTAAAAGCTTAAAGACCAAAATCGAACTTGAACCTAATGCAAAGCGAAATCTTAAAAACGGATAATGATTGATTAAGTGATTGCTTTTGCTTGTATGATTCGATTGCTTGACTCGTTTAAGTTGTTAGAAAAGTTATTGCTTAAACCTAACTCTCAAACTCGAAAACACTTAACCATGGCTGAAACCTTAAAACCTAAATCAAATCAAATCCGAAATCCCTAAAATATTAATCGATTGATTGAAGTTGTTTAGGTTGTTTAGATTGATTGTTTCTATGATTGGTTGCATGCATAAATTGATAGAAATCAAAACCTAAAATCGCATGAACCCTAGACACCTAGAAAAGGAATAATCCTATTGTGAATAGGAGAATCCTAAAAACCCTAAATCTTATTCTAAATAGGAAAAGCTAAATCCTAAAGAAAACAGGAAAACCTAAATAAAAAAGAAAAATTCTAAATCCTATTGAAAATAGGAAATCCTAAATACCCTAAATCTTATTCTAAATAGGAAAAGCTAAATCCTAAAGAAAACAGGAAAACCTAAATAAAAAAAGAAAAATTCTAAATCCTATTGAAAATAGAAAATTCTAAAAAACCCTAAATCCTAATTAAATTAGGAAATTCCTAAAACCTATTCAAGATAGGAAAACCTTAAGAAATAGAAATCGATTCATGGTTCGGTCTTAAATACCGCATGACATTAACGATTACATGATTTTGACTTAAACCTCTTTGCTTGTAGATGTTGAATTACAACTTGTATTTTACTGCCCTAAATCTCTTAGGAGATAATTATTTGAAATGGGCAATGGATACTAAGATTATCCTAAAGTCAAAAGGACTTGGTGAATGTATCACATATGGCAATAATGCCAAGAGAGAAAGATAGATACAAGGCAATTTTAGCCACCATCTTATTGAGAGTCTCAGAATCTAGGACTATAAGTCTTTGGATGAGTCTATTGCTAGTTGAGCAAAATAATGACTTACTGAAGGAAAAAAAGTAAATTAAGACCTCATAGATTAACCCCATTACTTGATGCCAATAAGGCCGCAGAGGATAAGAAAAAAAATTCCAAAGAAACTAACCACGTCCAGAATGATAGACCACAC